TATTGAACATTTAAATTTTACTACACTTGCAAAGAGGTCAAGTATGAAAAAGAAGTCCAAACTACAAACTTTTTAATGTTATGAAGCACAAACACATGCATGCTGCCACACCATTCCCCAGTGTTCCGATGCTACACTTTACTATTTTGCATATGACAAAATACACTTGCAAAGAGGGCAAGTATGAAAAAGAAGTCCAAACTACAAACTTTTTAAACAAAACAAATGACACCCTTGGACACTACATGCAAAACTTTGTCCAGGATCGGTTATTAAACCTTCTTCAAGATTCTCCTAGTGCATATTAATCAAGGATCCCTTTGTTTTCAAAATAAATGTATGTTTTAAATATTTTTAAATAAATCCCTTTGTTTTCCCAGTTTTGTAAACAATGAAAATGGCTTGTATTGTTTAATGACAGTAAAAACTGGGAAGGACAAAACTTAGACATCCATGCTTGAAGATTTTTCAAATCAGACATCAGCCACTAGGTTCCTTTAAAGTCGAGAATCAATGTTAGCTTAAATAATACCGAAGTTTCAAATATCTAAGTATCCTTATGCTTGAGTTGCTATCCAATCATTTATCAATATTTCTGAACTGGACAATGAAACTTGGTCACTGAAAGCACAAGCATTGATGATGATACATCTTCATTATGGGTTGTCAGATATTTTGAGGAAATAAAACCAACTAATCCGTTTGAGCAATTTTTAAATGGGTTTAGCTGCTTGTAGAGACCATTTAATTTTAGATGTCTTATGGTATCTATCTAGAAGGAAGAAGGTGTTAGAAGCAAAAAGCTAGGAAAGATCAGGATTCGAGTCAAATCTGCCCAAATTTTTACGTCTGGAATATTTTTCTAAAGAGTCATAATCTTTCAAGGATTTAACCATCTTGATTTGTGGGTTATATCCATATGATTTGCTGAGGTTTTTTTTAAGTGAAAAAATTACATTAAAAGATATAAAATTTATGTATAGAATCAAACTTAGATGACTAAGTGGATTTCTTCTGAGACAAATGTTTGGCAATTATTATTTCTGTCACTTATTACATTGTTGATTACTGAATAAATCAAAGTAGATACACTATGATCTTATCGAAAATAACCTATGTTATCTGATTATCTTTCAGCCAGATCATACAAGCATCGGGCAAGCTTGTTCTGAGCATGAAGAGGACCATACTTATACTATAAGTGGATGGAAATGCCACAACATGTGTGAGAGATCAGCAACACCTATGTTTCAGGAATTCGTGAGCTCCTTGTATGTCAATTACCCAAATATTGCGGATGGATAATATTTTCCATTATGATGGGTGAAAAGGCACCACTCTACCAAGGTTTTGTGCATGCGAATATGATTACATCTAATCTCAAAAGGTTGCCAACATACAATTGTCAAAAGCTTACACTAATTTACCAACACAGCAGAAATTATAACGAACTTTAATTAAAATATCAATACATCAAAAACTGGGGCCTCATGCAAAGCAGCAATCACTTACAACAACGCCCGATCTTCTCTAACGCTATTATCGACTTCGATGATCTTGGATCCAGCCAACAGTTGCATAACTAGTCCAGATGTCACAATAGGAGTAATCCCCAACTCCATAACAGTTCCTCTGTTGGACGCGAGAATGACACGCATCCAATAAAACGGATCGGCACCAGTGGTTGAGTGGATGCCATATAGAGGAAGCTGACTACAGACCAGAAAGATGAAAAGAGATATCACCGTGTAGATGACCTTCTCCCTGAAAGGTATCCTCCGATCTGCACTCTCCACCTCCGGCAAGATCGCCAGGAACGGCCTCACCAGATGCAGCACCCTAAACCCTCCCGCCATTTTTTTTTTCCGCAGATCAATCAAAGCAGAGAATCCAACTCGACGAATCTACCAAAATTGATTAAAAAGTAATAATGAAACAAACAGATCTAAGATAATATATGAAAAAGAAAGAGATCGGACCCATGAAAAATCAGGAAAAAAAAAAGAGAAGGAAATGAAAGAAAACCGTAACGGCGAAGATAAATCGGAGAAAAGTGTTGACGAAATGGACGAACCCTAGCTCTTTCTTCTCGTGACCTTCAAAACAACCTCGCGGAAACAGCGTGGATACGCTTCCCGAACTGGTCGGAGGAAGACGACGATGAGCTATATCCCGGCGGAGTGACTCGGAAAATTTGAGTCAGTCGTAACTCAGACCTGTAATGCGTTTTACGGTTTTTTATTTTATTTAATTTTTTTTTAATTTTTTTTTAATGGGCGGTGCATTTGCATACATTGCACCCTTTTCATATGTATTTACATATTGAACATTTAAATTTTACTGTTATTATTGGTATCATTTAAATCTTTCATATCACACCATAAAAACCAGCATTTTAACTTTTAAAGTGCGAGAAGTGTTTTCCGTGCACAAGTTAAATGGAGTGTGCATACAAATTAAAGTTTATGTGTTCCATATGTAGATACATAGGACTTGAGTGGTATGTATATAAATCTTTTTTTTTTAAGATTTACACACATACCACTCAATTCCTATGTATTTACCATACATGTCATCTCACCGAGGGGTGGATCTAAAAAGAGCCCAGGGGTCAATTGCAACCCCCCTACCCCCTTACCTCTAATTCAGATTTTTACTTATATGGATGAGCAATTTGACTTTTTGCCTCTCATAAAATATCGGTTTTGTCTCTCCTGAAATATCTTTGTGTTATTCGTTATCATAGCTCCTCTCATATTAAGTCTAGGGGAATAATTTGCCCTTTTAAAAAAAATGTTGGTTTTGCCCCTAATTTTACCTATGAATGA